GTTGTCTATGAAACACCTTTGCAAATTTGGTCATATCCTCAAAGTAGCCATACTTTTGTTCATTTAGGTTTTTTTTAACTGATATTTTTTAAAACTTACTTTCATCTGAAGAAGTAATACCCAGGAAACTGATGTGCTCGTTATATTTTCTAATTCATAACAAATTAAATACACATAGTAAAGGTTACCCTCTTCTAAAGTGAAATCATATGCCAATAGACATCCAGACACCAGTGTTGGAGAAACACTGGCCTAAGACATAGACTGAAAGCAGGCTGAATGGCTGCTCTCTATCTCCTCTCACTGGTCTTGGCCTGCTGCATCTTACCACTGCAAAGTTTACTTGGTATGTGTGTGTCCGTACGTTCGTGTGTGAGTGTGCACCTGCTCTAGGGGGTGGGAAATAGTGTGATGGGGTAAAGTGGGGGCAGGGAAAAGGCTAAGAGATCATGTCTCCATGATCAGCTTACCAAAAAATAGGAACATCCAGGCAGTTAGTCTCTATGGACTTACCTGTAGACGTTACCATGGACCTTCCAAGGTGGAGGCAACCAAAGCTAGTCATTGGAGATAGTTATTGGGGCACAGAGACACTTGTAGAGCAGGCACGTGTAATACAGAGGGCAAGCTGTGTTGGGTAGTTGAGTACTCTTCCCACAGAGGCCCTCTTTTTGTCCAACCCTATGCCCCTGAGGGATCCCTTAGCAAAAGGATTGGCTTTGGAGCTTTGTCTCCAGTGTGCACTGACTTGAGCAATGCTTTGAATGTGACCAGTAAATACTGGCCAAAGATATTATAATAAAAGACTTTTGAGCCTAAATCCTTGTTTCTAAAGATACTCAAGGTGCACCAAGGCCCACACTGACATATATTTATCCCTGCCCTATTGGCAAAACCAAGAGAAGGATTTTAATAAAAGGTCAACTCAACATCAACTACATCAAAGACAAGGTTTTTTTTTTTTTAAATAACTTTATTAGGGGACTTTACAAATATACACAATAATGGGAAGTATAAGATAATAAACCTTCATGTATCTGTCCCCCAGCTTCAAAAATTATCAATCATTTTTCATCTATTCCTCCTTCCATTTTTTTTTGCAGGATTACAAAATTCTTCAGTATGTACCTCTGATGACATTTCTGTTTTACACATAATTGTTATGCCATAATCACATCTAACAATATTAAGAATAATTCATTTATAGTACCTAATACTGGACTTAGTCTATAATCTGATTTTCCTGACTGTCCCAAGGGTTCTTTTCATAGGTGCTTTGGTCAAAAGAGAACACAAAGTCCACACATTGCATTTCATGATTATGATTCTTAAATCTCTTTCACTCTTTCACCCCTGCTTTTCCATGCGATTGATTTGATAGAGAAGCAAGGTCATTTTTCTTATTGACTGTTCCACATTCTAGATTTGACTGATTGCTTCCTTGAGGTGGTTTTTAAACTTGATCCTTTGTCCCTTGTATTTCTTATTAGGTCTAGAGGCTTGATTAGATTCAGGCAAGAAGACCTTATAGTGGTTCTGGGTACTGATTTTGTCATATCATGACACACATAATATCTGGGTGTTGGATTTTGGGGTTTAGTTTTTTTCTTTTTCTTTCTTACTTAGTTGCTCTCTCTCATTGGCAAGGTTCAAAATTATGCTACATTTATTTCCTTTGTCCAACCAGAAAAAAAAGTCAAGATCTACATAGACAAAATGACTAGGCAGAACACCAGTGGTTCTGAATCTCTTGGACAATCTGTATTTGAAGAAAGCTTCTCCTGCTTCGTACACAAAGGAATTGACTGTACAAGGGAAAATGTATGAAATATGAACACTTAGGGATTACTGCATGTAAAATTACAAAAAGCACATCACTAATTACTATATTTAGAAGCTAAACTATTAAAAATCAGGTTGAAAATAGCTGAAATGTCATGAGTCATTTGCTGATTATTTAGCTTATGGATTTCCAATGCCATTTGCTTCTAGCCCTTTTCTTCTTCCTTAGGGAATTTTTGGTGGCATTGCTTTTTAACACCTCCAGAAACTATTGTATGCTGATAACTGACCATAAATTGTACATGTGGAGAGACACGTAAGAGATTATGACTCAGGATCCATGCTGTGTTATTGACTGAGATAAACCATGAGTGGATTGCACCACAGTTGAGGACTTTCAGAGCAGAAAGTAGTTAGAATTCTGCTGACTAAGTAGTATGCTATCTATTGATTGGTAAAGAATTAGAAACGTAAAGCAAGAAGGTGAATATGCCCCTTGAAGAGAGACAGCATATCACCATGCTTCTCAGGTGCTAGACGTGTTCAGTTATGGGTCCAGCCCATGGGTTTGCAGACATGACTGTACCAGGGCAGCTTTTAAACTTACTGATGCCTGGACTCTACCCCAGAACTGAGTCTGGGTCTCTGAGGGTGGGTTCCAGGCATTGGTATTTTGAAAAATCTCTTTAGGTGATTCTAATATGCAGCCAGGGCTGAAAATCTTCAATCTAGCCAGCAAACAAGAGGTACCATTTATAGGTCTTTCTCTGTGCAAAAGACTGCGCTGGAAATCGCTTGCACATAAGGAAAATGACGCTTGGAGAGACGTTATTCACTCACTGTTTTGCTACAAAGAGTTTCACACTCATTCTATCTGGATTCAGAACTATGTGTTTTGAAATATTTTTGAAAGTGACCAGAAGTATGAAATGAAATTTACATCATAACTTAGAACACAGAAGATAATGAAACACAAGTTCAACAAATAATCTTATTAAGTGTGATGCACTTTAATATTTTTATTTTAATTAAAAAAATACTAGTCAAAACCTACTAAAATGATTTCATGACCTGCTGTTTGAAACACTCATAAACCATGACAGTGCAGATTTCCTTTCAGTTCCAAACACATGGCAAGATCTTTTCCCCCTCAATCCTGCTCATATTTTCTCTTCTTACCTGGAAAACCATTATGTTTTTTCTCTGCATTTTTAAAAGGCCATCAGGTTGGTTCCTGGCTGAAAAGCATTTCCCAGCTCATTGTGTCTCTTATTTCAGTGCCTATAGCTGACACGCAGAGCTCATCACACTTTTTTTTTTTTACACTAAATCATGTGATATACTGTGATGCTCTGTAATTGTCCTATATCTTAGATGGTTATGTCTCCTTGACTAAATTTAACCGCTCTGAGGGCAGTGATCATGTTGCATGCTTTTGCTTCTATACTTTTCGAGATGCCTAGCACAGAGCAGGGCAGATCACAAAAGCTAAAAGCTGTCCTGTGACCCTAGGCAAGTCAATCTCTTACGTTTTATTTCTTCCTCCTTAAAGCGAAGGGGGCCGTTTTAGGTTAATCCTCAAGTTTCCTCCAGGTTTTTAAGTCTATTTGTGTATAATATCTATGAACTTCTTCTATAAATACAGAAGTGAAGAATACATTAAACATTTTTATGAGCAACCAAAGGAAAGTTCTCACGTGGGAAGAAAAAAGGCTGAAATTATTCGGCAGTTTTGGTAGGCAAAATATAAACTCCTCTGTGCTATCTCTGAAAAGATAAAGAAGAACTTACTGGAGTTTGGAAATGGAATTGGGCCCTGGGTCATTTGGATTCTGATATGTGATTATTCATAGGCTGCATTTCTTTTTCAAGTTGAATGAATATATGGGTAGCAAGAAATATCCATGGACTCTTTATATTATTATGAATTGATCACATAATAACACAAGGCTTAACAATGAATGTGGGGTTGGGCGGGGGCGTGTGGAGGCAGAGGTAGCATGATTTAGGGAAAAAATGATTGAATACAATTACAGTTTAGGTATTGTTTGTTTGCAAGTGGTTTGTTAACATCACTGAGGCCCTTCCGAGTGGCTTCTGAGGTGAAAGGATGTGGCTGGCTGGGTCAGTTACTTGCATTCTTCTGAACCAGGGGCTATAGGCAGAGTAGCCAGAGAGGTAGGTGCTGTGTGTATGTGTGCGTGTTAGGGAATGGGAGGTGTGGGGAATAGACCATCTATGGACTTTACCTGCTCATTATTATACCAATCATACCAATCCATGGTTATAATGATTAGTTCAGAGACGGGCATAGGATCTAAGCAAGTCCAATGAGACTCATTCCTTGGCCTGCTTTCTTGTTAATGGGACCATTTGCTAAGGAGGTGGGACGAGGGGGAAAACCTGGGGCTGTAGGTCTAGGCCCTGATTAGAGAAAATAAAGCCAGTGTAATGAAAGCACAACCACGATTTGAAGAGAAACAGAGTCCTAACACTCTTTGAACACCTGGAGAAAAGCAAGGATTTTTTTTTTTACCTTTTTTTTTACAAGCAACATTTTATTAATTTATTTATTTTAATATCTTTATTGGAATATAATTGCTTTACAATATGGTGTTAGTTTCTGTTGTACAACAAAGTGAATCAGCTATAAGTATACATATATCCCCATATCCCCTCCCTCTTGAGCCTCCCTTCCATCCTCCCTATCCCACCCCTCTAGAAAATCAAGGATTTTAAAAAGCATTGTTTTTTTCTGCCAGTTCTACTCTTGGGATTTATAAGCATATGAGTCAATACATTTCAACCTCCTTTGCTGTAGGCTTTCAAAAGTCAGTTTGAGTTGGGTACCTATTACATCCAACTATCCTGACTATACAGCAGTTTATCATAAAACCAGTATAGCTTCACTCTTGCTCACTGCTAACCTCCTCTCTCATCTTGTCCTTTGGTTAAACAGGGCCATGTCTCCTGCTTTTATAGAGCCCAACATTCGTTTCCTCTCCACCTGGTAAGAAAGGTTTCTCCAACCTTCTGCGCATGGTCTTCCAGGTGTCTTCCCCCACAAGTTAACATGTGCTTGTTTCACAACAGCAAGTGGCAGGAGAGGAAAAAAATGAGGTCCAGTCTTAGGCAAGTGATGCGACTGCCTTTGTGTCTATTACAAAATACCTCTCCCTCACAGTCCCCACCCGCCCAGCACCCCCATTCTTTGGAGCCCAGGCTGGATTTTAATCTTCAATTGCCTGTCCACCTCCACCTCAGCCAGAGGACGCTGGGCAGGGTACAAATGACACAAAGACTGTGCTGAGGTCCCACAGTACTAAGAAGCAGCATGAGCTGGAGTCAAGAGGTAGAAAAACAAGCCCACACCCACACCCACTGCTACTGGGGTCATTTCCTAGGGTGCTGATAGCTGCTGATGCTGTGTCTCTGGGCATCGCCACACTGGGCATGTCCCGCTGTGCAGTGATCACAAATGTTGATGATAGCTGGAAAAACAGTATCACTTGTCACTTGAAAGCAGTATTTCCCAGTATCATTTAGATCTTAAGGTTGATATTTTTTCTTAAGGGCCTTCCTGAATTCAGTTTGGTGATCTTTACAGCCAGTCTTTGCTGATGCAAGTCAATAGTTCAAGACATCCAGTTGGAGGCCACCTGGCCATTGGCCATTGGAAGAGAACAGAGCACATGGTAAATCAGGGCATTTGGTAAGTCTCCCCTGACACACCAGTGACACCCTCAGGGGTCAGTCTAGGGACCCCAGCTGGTCTTTAGTTTTTTCGGTCTCCTGCACTCCTCGTGGTGGTGGGGGACTCTCAACACTGTGTTGGAGACAGGAAGATAAAGCAGGAAACGTGGGAGAAAACGCAATTCCACTGGGCAGTCTCCAGCAGCGCGCACGGGCTTCGGGGGCGTAGGTGTGGGCGGTGCCTCTGTGGAGGCGGGAAGACAAGCCCCTAAGGGGGATGGGGCGATTAGGAGAAGGGGCGAAGTTCCAACACCGTCGTGGGCGCAAACCAACGGCGAGTGCGGCCCGCCGGTGCCGGGTCCCAGCATTTGCCCTGTTTTGGCCCAGGCGGAGGGCTGGGGCAGACCGGGTTCTGGCCCCTGGAATCTCTCCGTGTCTGCAGGCTCCCTCCCTATTTTCTTGCTTCCTCCCCCCTCGCCGCCCGTCCTAAAACGCGGCGCCTTTAAGAGGGAGCTCGGTTATCCTGGGGGCGGGAACCCCTCGGCAGATCGCGAGGCGGCGGCGCTCGGCCGCGATGCTTCTCACTTTCTTCTCCAGCTGCCGTCGCTGCCGCCGCCGCCTGGATCGCCACCGCCATCCCCGCCTCCTCTTCCTCCTCCTCCTCCTCCTCTGCCTCGAAGCGTCGTTTTCTGCAGCAGAGGAGAGAAGTGCTATGTCAGGAAAGTTCCGGGAGGGACTGGCTGGGGCCATGCTCCCCGGGCTCTCCCGCAGGCGCCCGCGCGCAGCCCTTTGTATGAGGTGAGACTTGGGGTCCCTGGCCCCAGGGACAGGTAGCCGCCCGCGGGGAGCGCTTTGATTCGTCGCGGTGGGAAGGGTGTGAGGTTGGGCGGAGTGTGCGGCGGGGGAAGAGGCTGGTGAGACCGAAGTTGTGCCGGAGAAGCTCCGGGTTTTCGGGAAGGTTTTTGCAGCTGGACTAGAGGGATTTCGGCAGCCAGCGCCACACGGTGGGGCCCGGCCGGGACTCGGTGTCCCCGGGTCCCGCCTCGCCTCGCCTTCCGACGCCCCCTGCCCCGTCCCCTGCCCGCCCGAGCGGTGAGGCCTTCGAAGAAACCGCTCCGCTGCTGGCCGGACCGCGGTGCCGGGTTTCTCTCTGCCGGGCTCTCCCGTCGAGATGCTAAGCGCTGGGAGTGAGAGGCAGGGGACGGAATCCTCCTGAACTTTTACACTGTGGGCTCCTCACTCTTCAGGGGTGAAATTCACCTCGTTTGCCCAAGTCCGAGGGCTCCTTCGAGCTCCACCAGTTCTGAGAGGTTGCCTTTTACTTGTGGGTGAGCTTTCCGAGCTGTGGCTCTTTCAGCCTTGGTCGGTTTTCAGCGTTGCACTGATTTTCGTCCGCCCTCCTCCTCCCCTTTTGGGAAACATTTTTTTTTTTTTTTTTTTAAGAAAAAAAATATTTTGGAGGATTCGGGTGCTAAAACAAACCAACCAACCACCACTACAACAAAACCCAACAATGCATTTTTGTGAAATTTACCCCCCGGGGCTGACCTAAGTATTCCAAGTGATCGTTTAGTCCCCATGAAATATTTAGTGTTGGTCTTAACACTTAATGAAAGGCAAAGATCACTGCAGTAGGATGTAGGGTTTTTTTTTTTCTTCTTTCAGTGAGGTGAGATGAGGTTTCAGTCATGTTTTTTAAAAATTTCAATCATGTTTTTTAAAGATTTTTCTCTTTGTTTATTGGTTTTCATTATAGCTTAGATTAAGAAGGCTCCCATTAATTTTAGGAGTAATATTTCTAGAATCATAAATAAAACCTGATGTTTCTTGCATAATCCGACATTGCTTCAGACAGTTTTACTCCTGGATGAGGTATGTAGTAGGTGTAATTATTTGATGAAACCTAATATATAAGTACATTTATTGCCCAAGTGGCTAAGTTTTCTTTTTTCATATATCCTGTGGGTGAAGGAAGCCCATTTTCTCACACCCCCAGGTCTCTACCACAAATGTCTGTTCTTGTTTCTGTCTTCGTCACTCACATCGTATACATCTGACGACAGGGACAAATCAGAGGTGCTGATGGCAAGTCCCTATATTTTGTGAAGTGTTGCATAGCCAGAATTGTAGTGATGTAATTGATTATATCGTCCAGATTATTTTGAAAAATAAAAATAGAATGTGGGAGCTTGTTTAAAGAAAAGAGTGTCATGAAGTATTTAAATTCTCAAGTATATGCTTTACATATAATTTGTGTGTAGAAAGATATATTACCAAAATAGACGGGGAATACTGTAAGAGACAACTTATGTGCAGTGGGGAAGTTTTGAAAGAAAATCATTCCAGAATAAACATTAATATAATAACATTTTGTTTGGGATATAGGTTTTCATCTCTGAGCATGGTTTTGTCACTCTGTTGTCAAATATACCAGAATTGAAACTTTAAAAAAGCACTCTCCATCTCAAGCATTTTCTGAAAATTTGTAGCAAACTGAGCATTTTTGGAAAAAAATTTGCTTAGAAAAAGTCGCATACTTAAAGCCCTAACTGCAGTTACTATTTTATCTTAAGTTTGCTGGACTCTAGGCCAGAAAGTACCGCATTCAGTAAGGATTTGGGGTTCTAAGGTGGATGTGACTTATTTCCTAGAACTGTGTGGGTTAATATGAGTACCTTGAGATTTGGTATGTGACTTATTTGATTGAGATGATTGTTTTGTGAATAATCCTTTTTGAAACTAAGGATATATATTCATATGTATATCACATATACATATCACAAATATATATATCACAAAATCCATATCTATTTATAGATATGGGTATACATATATTTATGTATCTCTATATATCTATAGAAGGGAAAACTGTTCAGGGACTCAATAATACTCCTTCACTAAGAAGAGCATGTCTGAAAGATCAAAAGCTAAAAACATTTCTTGCTACGGCTTGTCATTTCTTCAGCAATTTCATCACTATCAGTTAAGTTAAAAAAATACTGTATTTTCCAGCATGTTCTTGTTCTCACACAAGGCTTGGACCAGGGAGCCATATGCCAATGATCCTAACCGCATATTTTTTAAATGAACTGAATTATCACACCAATGGATGATTGAATCAGGCATTTCTTAAGCTTCTGCAATTTAACTCCAGTAGAAGAATCCCTGGTAAAATTTAGCTTGTTAATATAGTGTTTTCTTCTTTTAACACTTCAATAATTACCTTCAGGGTATTCCCCATAGGTCTGGGTCTTAGAGAGTAGACATCAAAGGCATGGGAGGCAAACCTTGGGTAAGTTTTGGTACTCCAATTTGTGAAATGATGTCTTGAGTATTTGATTTGAGAGAGATACTCATTTATACTTGGGAAAATAATACCTATGATACAGTGCTCCAGTCTATAGGCAAAGCTTTGGAATATTTATCATGTTCCACAGCTGAAGCTGCTTCATTTTAGCATATGTATGAAAGTTAGAAATGAAATGATTTTTTAGACTTTTTTTTTCATTTGCTAGACATTTACCAGGAATGTGTTTATATTTGCTACAAATGCCCTTTATTGCATATGGCAATTTTTTCCTTTTCCTTTTCCTTTTTTTTGCTACTATGGTGTGTATATTTAGGGTGAGTTCTTAGTGTTTACTTGAAACAGACAGTACCATGTTTCACAGAGTTTATGTTGTGTGTCTTCAGCTTAAAAAAGTAACATTTGAAATGTTTGACTATGAGCATGAGATCACAGACTTTCAGAACTGATGGGATCTTGGTCAATTATAGTTTCAGTTTCCTGGGAATCTTCTGTTTAAGGTCAGATGCGGCCCTGATTTGAACTGGATGATGCACAAATAAGTACTTTTGCAACCACAAAACGTGGAGAACATTCCAAATAATTTGCAGTGTGGGCATGCTTTAGTGTTTAGTTGGCTTGAGGCAGTGTGCCATGCTTGTAAAAAATGGTTTTTGAAGCTGACAGCAAGCTGTTTCACTCTTTGAGTTTGACACATAGGATGAAGTGCCTTTTAGCCTCTGTGCCAGTAAATATGGACAGGATGGGAAAAAGTAATTTGTTCACATCTCTGTATGTCAGAAGATTCAGAAAACTCAAGCATGAAACTAGCTTAATATACTGGAAAACTCATTCATATTCATTAAAAATGTAATGAAGAGTTGAGAATGTTGGATTTTAACACAGCTTTCAGGTCATGGGCAAAAGAGTGTATATTTGCAGTTAGTAGGGTAATCTAGTGGTCATCTCTTGAAATTAATAATAACACTATTATTAATAGTATTTCCTTTGAGTGATAATCCTCCCAGGCCCAACTTTGATTAAAAAACATCCCCAGCCAGACACTGTACCAATCACCTAGCAAATATGTTAATTGATTCTTAAATAATTTTAAGTTGAAACCCTTATGCGTCATTGTAGTCATAAGCTTTATGTACCTTTGGGGGTTTTGATCAAAGTTTCTTGGTTAACTTCTTTTCTATCAATTGATGAAGCCCAATCTATATCACTAAAGCGTTTAAAAATATTTTAGGCACATTTTTTTATGTGAAAATTTCTAAGGATTTGCCTTGGGAAGGGAGTGCAGAAGGGACATGATTCTTTATTGCAGCTCTTACCTTCCAAAGGAAGGTGCCTTCATCTCTTCCTGTCTTTTTTTTAAACAAAAACAAACGCATAGGTAATTTTAGAGAAAGAACATTTGCAGGCATTTAAAGGTGCTTGAAGTTTCAATCAAAATAAGGGTTTCAGCTCAAAGTTACCTAAGAATCAGTGAACGTTTGTGCCAGGTGTTGGTTACAGTTTTTGGTTGAGGGTGTCTGCTGCTGATCCAAGTTGATCCTGGGAAGATACAGATTCAAAGGGAGTTGGAATGGAAAGGGGCTAATTGCAGGCATAGCATCTATGGCCTTCCAGAGGGAAAAATGTTTGCCTAAGTGTGTACTTCTATAAAATCCACTTTTTATCATTGTAGCTTATTTTTTCCGTTTCCTCCATGCTATAAATGAAGTGTATAGTGTCTTCCTGCTCCATTTTTTTTTTTTTTTTTTTTTTTGCTGTACGCGGGCCTCTCACTGTTGTGGCCTCTCCCGTTGCGGAGCACAGGCTCCGGACGCGCAGGCTCAGCGGCCATGGCTCACGGGCCTAGCCGCTCTGCGGCATGTGGGATCTTCCCGGACTGGGGCACGAACCCGTGTCCCCTGCATCGGCAGGCGGACTCTCAACCACTGCGCCACCAGGGAAGCCCCCTGCTTCATTTTTGATTAACCTTGCACTTCTAAAGTTTCACACTGTTCAGCACTAGCAGAAAGTCTGTTCTTTAAGCCTTTGAGCTTGTTCCCAGCAGTACTTTTCAAATGTGTTCCTCTTATTTTGAATTATTGAGTTCTTTAATGATACGTTATGAGTTTTGAATTTAAGATTCCTCCATCTTCCTTGTTAGGCCTTGGTTGAATTTGCTCCTACTTAAAGGTGCAGTGATGTTGGTCACTTCTCATTTTTGTGCCTATATTTCATGTACAGTTGCTATTGTGAGGTTTCAAATCTTTATTCTTTATTCGTACTCATGGAAAATTTAGAAAATCCAGACAAGCTAAAAAACAAGAAAAAAAAAGGAAAAGGAGGGCTTCCCTGGTGGCGCAGTGGTTGAGAGGCCACCTGCCGATGCAGGGGACAAGGGTTCATGCCCCGGTCCAGGAGGATCCCACATGCCACGGAGCGGCTGGGCCCGTGAGCCATGGCCGCTGAGCCTGCACGTCCGGAGCCTGTGCTCTGCAACGGGAGAGGCCACAAC